TAGTGATCAATTATATAATCACTAAATGACATATTAATGGTTGCTAAAGTCAAATTTTTCTTTGGTGTTTTAATAAGTTGTTTGGTTTTCTAATGGGATATAATTAGCTTATTCTATTAATTTGGTTTTCTAATGAGATATAATTCAAATTATTCTATTACTTAGCATATTTTATTGAGTAAGAGTATGCTTCATCAAATTGGAGAAACTAGGTTAAAAATAAGATAGAATAAAAAAAAAATCTATCTTTCATTTTTGACCATCACCTAACTTTCTTCACTAGAGCTCTTCCTTGTGGACTTGACGACATGCTTCTCATGTGCTAAAGCTTTTTCTCAATAATTCATGTTTGTTTTTGTCAAAGTTAGAAGCCTCTTTCACAACTTTCTTTTTCTCTTTCTCTTCCACCTCTTCTTTGTTTACCTCTTTGTGTCTGAATCTTCCAATTGCATCCAAACCCTCATTTTCCTCCTCCTCCTTTCTAGTCCATTTGTAGTCTTTGTTTACCTCTTTGTATATGAATCCTCCTGTTGTATCCAAATCCTCATTTTCATCTCTTCTTCAACATCATATTTTGTGATATGTCATGTTTTGAAAGGGTTCATTTCTTTTTGTTGTAAAGCAGTGACGGATCCAGAAATTTTAGATAGTGGGGGCAATACTTATTCATATATTTATAATATTAAAAAAATTTATATATAATTTTTAAAAGTATAAATATATTTTATAAATATTTTTTACAAGTTTTTATATTTATAATTACGATTAAGGATGAAAATAAATTATGTTAGACTATGTTATATTATAATTTAATATGTTTGAACCTAACTTTCTTTAAAAAATACATGTTCTAAATATGACATATTTATCTATCATAGACATTTTTTAAATATTTGGTTAAAATTATAATTTTAAAGACTTACTTTATAATAATTTAACACTAATAAAAATATAAAAATAAATATGTTAAATTTTATAAAAATCAAGTTTTAATTTATTTATGATATAAACATGTTTTTAATATGTGATATAAATTTTTAGATGTTAATTTATTTTAAAACATATTTTATAATAAAAATTATAAATAGAACATAAATCTTTCAATTTTCCAATTTTAATTTTTTTAAAATTAACGTATACAATCTTATAATTTTTACTATTTTAGTTTTTTTATCAATATATACAATAAATAGAAAAAATTACTATATTACATTATATATGTGAGCATTAATATATATCTATTATAATTAAAATTTTTAAAAAAATTAATTTATTATTAAGAAATATTTTTTATTACGTATGAAAACTAATCTTATTTGAAAATTTGATAAATATCAAATAAATGAACAATTCTTCCAAATTTATATTTTATACATATGATAATTTAAATATATATATATATTATTAGAATATAATTTTTTTTAATATATATATATTTTTTTAATAAAAAAATTTTGTATATGCAAAATGGTAGTGGGGGCAAGTGCCCCCACTCTCTTGTATGTAAATCCGTTTCTGTTATAAAGGCAAGTTTATGATTTTTAAATGCAATTTTCAAAATAAAACAGGATTGGCTAATATAGAGTTAAAATAATTTTTAAGTCAATTTCAAAATACTCTATTTATTTTAAAAAAGTCAAGAAACACTTTCTTAATAATATAGAGTTGAAATAATATAGAGTTGAAATAATTTAAAACATTCATTTTTAAGTCAAGAAAAAAAAAAGTGTAAATGTGATTTTTTATTTTAAAAAACACTTTTGCTATATTTAATAGTAGTCATTCTTGTCGTGTCACATTTATCTTTACCATCATTGTCAATTTTTGTCACCATTATTATCATAATTATTATCACTGTCATAAAATTACATCTTTAAACTAATTTTAATAGGATAAAGAACTTTTAAAGTGAGTTAATTAAAAAAAAACTAAATCTATTTTTCAAATTTAAAAAGTGGGTGTGATTTTCTTGAAAATTTTGAAACTTAATTATAAGCAATGTTATTCAACTCAAACCAGATTAGTTGATCCGAACAATTTGACTGTTATTCTCATGTTGCCGACCCATTTAACTTGGTATCAAACTCGTCAGAACTGCTAAACTTGTCCAATTTTTATTATTTTTTTTAATTTTTTTTTATACACCTGCCCAATTTGGAGCTTTCTGCAGTTTATTTATTTATTTTTTTAATGTTATTCTCACTACTAACATATTTAACTTGGTGGTGGAAATGCCTACTTTTTTTTAATCTTAGTTTTCTTCTCTTCCATGCTTCGAAAAGGTAACTTTTAGTTTGAGTGAAGGTCGTATACAATTTTAGTTTGGTTAAAATACTTTAGTCCTATAGATTTATGTTGTTTATTTTGTAATTTTTATAATTTAAGATAATTTTTTTTAGTTTATATATTTATTTTTTAATTTTTTTTTAATTTCTATAATTTAAAATAAATATTTATAATATTTATATTTATAATTATTTAA